CCTCTAATCTCCTCTTTGGATTTCAAGCATACATACACATGTGGCCAGTCTTGAGTTTCAGGTCCCTGGGCTGGGACTGAAACAATGGCCAGCCCTGTGGGAGTCCAGTGACGTAACCATTACATCATCTACTGGCCAGTCCCAGGCCTCTTTCACTTCCCAGATCTAAAGAATATCACTTCTCTTATGCCTTCTCCACCTTTCAACTTTGACTAGGACTCCTGGAATTTTACACATACCATTGGTCACATCTCACTGGGATTTGCTTACTTGATTCCCCCATTATACTATGAACTTCTTGAGAGCAAGGACCATGCACAACTTACCTCTGTACATCTTTATTTATTTCAATATTCATAGAGTCTCTCTATGTAGTTATTGAATTAATAAAACAAACTAAATTGGGGTTGCTAATATTAAACACATCTGAGGACTTTCCCTTCCTGATTTTTCATGACTGATACTTTCTTTTTGTCATTTCCTTACTCTTCTCCTAGCCTAAGTGAAAGAAAGGAAAGAAAGAATAAAAATATTCAAGACAGTTTAGAATAATTACAGTTGAAACTTGCTTTGGTTCTATACCTAAACTGAGATATTCCAGAGAGAGAGTTTTTGAGTATCACTACCACTCAGAGCCTTTCATATCGCATGATTAAATAAATGAATTGTATTTGATAGCTGAGCTGTTTAGTAGCTAATCTCACGCTCATTCTTTGTTACCCGGAGTTTTACTATCTGTTCAACCTACCATATTTTTAGATTGTTACAGCAGTACTTTACAAAATATATGTTTGTTTGCTTTTTTTAAAAAAAAATTTCAGCACACATTTTATTATTTAGAGTTGAATATATATTCATTATTTTCTTAAAGTAAATTTTGAAAAAAAGATGTTACTGTGATGAGGATGCTTAACATAGAACTTAATATCCTAACAAATATTTAAGTGTACAGTACAGTACTGTTGGAACATCCTAACAAATATTTAAGTGTACAGTACAGTACCGTTGGCTATAGGTACACTATTACGTTGTATGGCAGATCACCAGAATTTATTTCATCTTGCTTAAATGAAACTTTATGTCAGTGTACTCTTCTTCCTCCCCCACCCATCCCAGCTCTCAGTATGCTTTCCTTTTTAATGGTTTGCTTTATGTTTATGGGAGATTTTCTTACAAAGTTGCTTTCTGCTTTCAGATACCATTGCAACTTACTCACTGAAATAAAATATTAGAATCATGGAAAATGGTTATGGATACTGGAGACAGTGTGGGAAGAGAATGGGATAAAGGAGAAAGTGTGAGGGAAGGAATCAAGGAGAAAAATGGAGAAGCAAGACATTGATGGGAGACAGAAATGGATAATTATCTGTTGATAATATTGTGTATAGTATCTTCAGCTGAACTGGAGTGTATTCATGTTGGATAAATTCACTGTACAAGCCGTAGTGATTTACAGCGACTGAATGTATAAAATTAAATAAAATTTTAAAAAGATGTTACCTACTGAGGTTCAGTGGTAAAAATATCTATTGATGGTAACAGCTGGTGATGCTAATGTTAAACCCTCATTGTGTTCCAGGTACTGTCCTTGGTACTTTAATAAAGTGTCCTATTTTCTCCTCACAACAGCCCTGTGAGAGAGATGGGTGTTTTTCTCTTAGTCTCTAGTAGAGAAAAAACAGAAGCTTAAACAAGTTAATTAATACACCCACATCACACAGCTGTTAGAGTTCAGAACATGGGCTGGGATCCTGGCAGTGGGCCTTCAGAGCACATAGTCAAAAATCACTACAGTCGCTACAACTGTGGAGAGTATGATTTAGAATGGAACGATTTCCAGTCTACCTGAAAATCAGAGGTTTGCTTGCCTATCAGAGTCAGCATATTTTTTTTTTTTGAGTAGATGGAGGCTTCCTCCTTGAAATTATATTCCCATTTCCACATTTTTTCTTTCACTTTCCATATGCTACTTGCAAATTGCACTTTAAGTCCCCTCCCCACCCCCCTTTTTGGGTCAATTTCATTACCGGTTCATTAGCCAGCGCATCATGGAAGCATCTCATTACAGCCCTGTCTTGAAGCTAAGATACAAGCGTTAAGCCAGTACCAAATGTGAGCCTGTATTTATTCTTCTTGCCAACTAAACAATAGGAAGCTACCTATTATGTAATTCCAGGCAAAAATCAGAAAAGAATATATGTATTTATTTTGTTTATACTAAAGAATAAATATAGGAACTGTGATAAGTACAATGTTTATAGAATTTGGCAAGTACAGATTTGCTATTTTGTCAATCAATTAGATTTGATTAAAATAAATATACACACACATACAAACAAACCCTCCAAAAAACCAGAGATATGTACTACTCTTACCTATACAAGTTGGGTGGTTATTTCTTCTTGTTATTGTTAAATAGAGGGTGGGAGATGGTCTTTGACTGAATACTCTGGCCTGTCTTTGAACTTGAAATCCTCTTGTCTCACCCTCTCAAGTCAGAGGGACTATAGGCATGTGCTATGACCACATGCAGTTAATATTAATTTGAAATTTTATATTATAGCTCCCTGTGTCAGAGAAAAAGAACATATTTTGAAATGTACTTTGTTCAGGGAATTAGTGGGAGAAATTCAGTTTGTTTGTTTGTTTGTTTGATTTTAGGTTTGCGATGATAACAAATTAGTATAACTACAAAACTACTAAAGATTACAGTTTTGATACAAGAGTAAAAAATGCTCCATCATGAACTGGCTTTACTGTCAGTTAGAAAGGATAGGGTGAACATTTCATTTTTTGCTATTAAGAAAACTTAGACATTTGAATGCATAATCTTCCTCCTCCAAATAATACTTCCCTTTCAACTTTAGCCCCTTTGGGCTTAATATTTAGTTCTTTTAAAAAAAATTGCTAAAGCAATCAATTCGTTTTTATTATTGGGTCATTAGAAAAGTCATGACACATTTTTGCATAGAAAAATACATCCTGGCTTTCTGGGCAACCCGATATTTATGCTGTTTTAATGTGATCCAATTCTGGAATATTATTTTGGCATGAAGATGACTGATAAAGAAGAAACAGTTTGAGTGGAAGAGAGAGAGAACAATGCAAAGATTGAGCAGAAGTGAAGGGAAAGTACTTAGAATAAAAAGAAAGTTGCCAGCAAGGACAACCTTCTCTCAATTGCCCATATTTTCCCCAAGATGAGTAGGAGCCCATCTGTTAAGCATTACTGACTCTTTATCAAGGTATTTCTTCATTTTAGCTACATGATATATTTAACAAGTTCAAAGAGTCGCTGTGTGCATGAGACTAGTCTGTGCTTCCCTTAAGATGTGACCCTGCCCCTACTATATCCGTCCCTTCTTTCTGGGTCTCATTCCATCCCTAGGATCTGGTTCTTCATTGGTAGTGTGTGTCTCTGCTTCATTAACATCTGCACATGATGGACCTCTACATCTTTCTATGAAGCCAATTTTATTGCCTTGGGAATCAGAGCAGGACGTAAGAGACTTTGTTCTTGTATAGATTACCGAGTCTTTGCATCCTTGTTACATTTTTGCATAGAAAAATACATCCTGGCTTTCTGGGCAACCCGATATTTATGCTGTTTTAATGTGATCCAATTCTGGAATATTATTTTGGCATGAAGATGACTGATAAAGAAGAAACAGTTTGAGTGGAAGAGAGAGAGAACAATGCAAAGATTGAGCAGAAGTGAAGGGAAAGTACTTAGAATAAAAAGAAAGTTGCCAGCAAGGACAACCTTCTCTCAATTGCCCATATTTTCCCCAAGATGAGTAGGAGCCCATCTGTTAAGCATTACTGACTCTTTATCAAGGTATTTCTTCATTTTAGCTACATGATATATTTAACAAGTTCAAAGAGTCGCTGTGTGCATGAGACTAGTCTGTGCTTCCCTTAAGATGTGACCCTGCCCCTACTATATCCGTCCCTTCTTTCTGGGTCTCATTCCATCCCTAGGATCTGGTTCTTCATTGGTAGTGTGTGTCTCTGCTTCATTAACATCTGCACATGATGGACCTCTACATCTTTCTATGAAGCCAATTTTATTGCCTTGGGAATCAGAGCAGGACGTAAGAGACTTTGTTCTTGTATAGATTACCGAGTCTTTGCATCCTTGTTTTTTGGGAATCTTTCTCGTCCAGGTCTTGAATACTTGGCAGTATGCTCCAGGATGGGCCAGACCTCTGTATGTACTGTATGGTGGTCTTCTTTCTCTAATTGTCTTCCAACTTCAGTTGGGGATTGATAAAAATGGTTAAATGTATTGAATCATTCCCTTAGACTAGTCACTGCTCCAAAGGTCTCATTGGATCTTCACAACAACCCTGTGAAGTAGACACCATTATGACCTTTATTTTACAGATAGGGGAAACTGAAGCAGAGGGAGGTTAGATAACTTGGTCAAGGGCACAATTCTTATATGTCCTTGCTTAAAATCAGTGATAATAAATAAATCAGCATTATTTTGTCTTAAATTGTGAAAATATACTAGAGTCCTTTGCAAAATTAACTTTTCTATTATGACCATGGCATGGGTGTCAGTTGACATATTTTTGAAAGTCATACAGTTTTAAAACTTAGGGTAATTTTCAAGTAGACAAAGAAAATAATGATTCATAAAATTTTATTTCAAAAGCATTTGGATTTTGGTGCTAAGAAATAATTACTTTGGTTTACATTTGAATACAGCTTGGTGTATTTGTGCTAGATGAACTTTTCTTCTGTTAGTGTTTTTATATCTTAAGGTCGAGTTTAGTGGTTCATAGCCACCTCCACCTACCTTTTCCGGTCATTATATAAAAAAAGAAGTGGTATTTGATCACATCTCAGTAAATACTAGCCAGATGCTAAAGGGACTTTTGTTGTTGTTTTTCAAGTCATCATTTAATTCCGAACCTCTGCGAAAGGACTTGATCTGTGTGTTGAGTGTTCTTAGATGCAGAGATGTAAACGTCCATTTTCTGTTCTGTTTTCAGGTCACATGTGCCAATTTAACAAACGGTGGGAAGTCAGAACTTCTGAAATCAGGAAGCAGCAAATCCACATTAAAGCATATATGGACAGAAAGCAGCAAAGACTTATCTATCAGCCGACTCCTGTCACAGACTTTTCGTGGCAAAGAAAATGACACAGATTTGGACCTGCGATATGACACCCCAGAACCTTATTCTGAGCAAGATCTCTGGGACTGGCTGAGGAACTCCACAGATCTTCAAGAGCCTCGGCCCAGGGCTAAGAGAAGGCCCATTGTTAAGACGGGCAAGTTTAAGAAAATGTTTGGATGGGGTGATTTTCATTCCAACATCAAAACAGTGAAGCTAAACCTGTTGATAACTGGGAAAATTGTAGATCACGGCAATGGGACATTTAGCGTTTACTTCAGGCATAATTCCACTGGTCAAGGGAATGTATCAGTCAGTTTGGTGCCCCCAACGAAAATCGTGGAATTCGACTTGGCACAACAAACCGTGATTGATGCCAAAGATTCCAAGTCCTTTAACTGTCGTATTGAATATGAAAAGGTTGACAAGGCTACCAAGAACACACTCTGCAACTATGACCCTTCAAAAACCTGTTACCAGGAGCAGACCCAAAGTCATGTATCCTGGCTCTGCTCCAAGCCCTTTAAGGTGATCTGTATTTACATTTCCTTTTATAGTACAGATTATAAACTAGTACAGAAAGTGTGCCCTGACTACAACTACCACAGTGACACACCATACTTCCCCTCAGGATGAGGATGGACAAGGGGGTGAGACTGAAGTCTGAGGAATCAAAGGTCATATGACAGGGCTGTTACCTCAAAGAAGATGGTCACATCTGTTGCCTGGAATGTGTCTACACTGCTACTCTCGTCAACTGGCTGCAAATACACTAGTGGAAAACAATCCGATGTAATTTCTGCCCAGTCAGCTTCATCTCTCAGTATAGTTGTAAATCACCACAGATTTTAAAGTCACATTTTGAAGACATGCTCTCACATATAGAGGTACACGAACACACACTCATGTACATTTCAGCTTGCATCTATCATGATTCCTGTGGAGAGGGCTTTCATTATCCGGCACATCATGGTTCAGGATAAACTATCATGAAACGAAAGCATTAACTAGACAGAGAATGTTTCTAACACTTGCTGTTACGGAAATCTCTTTAAAGTCCTGAGTACGTGCTAATCAATAATCCCCATTCATGCATTTTTACTGCTTGGAGTAGCTGTACTGGTAAATACTACTGTAGGAGTATATGCTTGTTAAAATGGAAAAAAAAAATGTGTCTTTAGAGCTCAGTATTCTTTATTTTATGAACACAACAAAGTGTAGTAACTTTTTTCCAGCATACAGTAGGCACATTCAAGGGGATACAAGATGGCTTTTTTTTTCTTTTTCTATGGAGGGAGCCTATTCTCGGTAAAGATGAGCAAACATTTGGAATTTACATGTGGGTTGATATTGGGATTATAACTTTCATCACCAGTCATTGGACTTTAGTGAAGTCAGACCAGCTAAGACCGCTTAAAACAGTTCTGATCATTATGTAAGAAGGGAAATGCCTGGCAGACACCATGTAAGTTATAAGTGTCTGTCTTATCTTTACTACACATATTGTAACAAATCCAATATCCTAGTCTTCATTTGTATGAATGGTTTGTATTGTACATAGTTTAACCAAGTGTTATTTGAGCTGCTTATTAATATTAAATTGTACTTGTCTCTCTGCTTGTTATTGGTTAAACAAGAAAAAGGATATGAGGAATCCATTTTATCAATGTAGCTGTGAACTCCATTAAAAAGATGAACTTAATGTACAAAGCATTTACTCAGCTCAAGTATTATTGAAAGCTATACATATAGAACATTACAGTCTGTCTGTATTTAGATATTTTATTTCTGGACAAGATAAAATGTACATAAAAATAAAACACTTAAAGTTGAGTTTCAATATGGACTTGTGTAAGATGATGATTTAAATGGTTCTGACAAGAAGAACATGCTGAAATACCATCATGGCTTTGCATCTCATGTCTCTAAATTTGTACAGAACTATATAAATTGCTATTAGTTGCCCAGTCAAAACAACTTAAGAGTTTCATTCTCAAGCCTGAGAAACAACTGTGGCATACAGCATTGCACACATTTTTGGTTTACTGTCATGCTAGTTATTCAAGAATACTAAAAATCAATGAGCAAAAGGAAATAATTGAAGTCTCCTAAGTTAATTATATCTAATTGAATTTTTTTCCATGCTGAGTTTTTTCTTGGCAGGGAGATTGAAGTGGAGGTATTTTTTTTTTTTTTAAAGAAAGTCAAGATGTCTGAAGATTATGATTGAATTTTCCTGATTCTACGTTAATGACTCATTTCAACTGAAGAAATCTGGATGGTGGTGGAAGGCTTTGACACTCAATTTTCCTGTAGCATTTGAGATCAAAGTATCTATGTAACATTGTTTATGCCTATTAAGGTTTCTTTAAAAAGTAATTGTATACAATTTCAGCAAAATAAACAGATGAACAAATATATAGGTAACCCATTTTTAAAGCTATGAATGAAGGTTGGAATATCCAGTATTACAAAGGTTAACCAAAGAACCCAAATTAAGAACAATCATCTATTATCATCTTTTCCTCATGCTGCTTAGGGATAAATCTATTTTCCTACAGAAAATAAGAGAAGTACTCTAAGAAAAACAAAACCATAGAGTTCTAACATGAGAATTCAATAGCTGATTTGACAAGTATTTTTTAACTACAAATATACATAATTCTGTTAAATGTCCATCTTTTGAAATCCTCCAATATGTTTAGACAACCATTTATACATGTATTAATTAATTTTCTATGGAATTTAGAAGTCAATATTAGGATAGACTCTTTGGCATAAAGGAACAGAGGCAGCTTCATGAGTGTGAGCTGTTGAACAAATTTGCCACAGACAAATCTTATTATTCTGGAATTATTACTTTTTATTTTATTTATTTTTAGTAAAGTGATCACCTAGAAGTAAGTTGGTCCTTAGCAAACAAGAAATTAAACAAGAAGAGAAAAACCAATATTTTTTAAGATCATTTGATTAGTATGACTTTCATGATGTGGTATGATCTATTCTTTTGTAATCCAAAAATTCAGAATGAGATAAGAATTTAATTCAATATATACCCCTTTATACTGTTCTCTAGTCTCCCCATGAAATATTTCTTTTACATTTTATAAACATACAGAACACAGCTCACTGACATCCACTGAATTGGATTGTTTTCTATATTTTTCTTCAGAAGAAAAAAATAAGAAAACCTGCAGAAAACTTCCAATAAGGATTTCAATAGTTAAAAATATGAATTTTTAGGGATCTTTTTTAGGCCTATACATAATTATTCCAAATTCCTTTATATCATTAATACCCTCCATCTGTAATATAGAAAAATCATGATGCTATAGGACATCGATCCAATAGAAAATTTATTTGTATCCAACATAATCTTCCTTTAGACAAGGAAATGAGTGAAGAAAGATGATCACTATAAAGGTGCAGAAGTTTAGATTAAAAACTATATTAGACAAAGATGTTCCTTCAGTAAGCTGGATGATTAAGTTTTACCTATGCCAGAAAATGCATTTGTTATTTGGAAAAAGGAAGCTTCAAGTAAAAAGCGAAGAAATAACCTTCTCAAGATTCTTAAATATTATATCATATATTTGGTAACATATAGGAAAAAAATCTTCCAGATGGGAGCTTCAAGCATTCGATGCAAACATGGATTTTTCATGTCTCATTGCCTTTTTAAAAAAAAAGTTTCTGGGGACCAGCAGTTAGCGTAATGGCTATGTCGCTGGACTCCCACGTAGTCGACCGCAGTTTGAGTCCCAGACCCGGTGGCTTAAACTCACGCGAGACGCGTGTGCGTGCGCGCCCAAGATCCCAAAAGGAGAAAGGAGGAGAAGGGATTGTGGCATGGCCATCCCCCCTGGGGGGTGATTTCTCGCTTTCTGTCTCTCTGTCTCTCTCGGTCTGTCTGGCGAGCGCACGCGCCCTATAGCAAAAACCTCTCCCCCCCAAAAAAAAAAAGTTTCTGTAAAATAGACATTATTATGAAGAGATGATTATTGTAGCTTCTTACCTCATGGAAGAAAAATGATGCAGGTTACTGTTTGATCTATTTATGATTAAAAAACAATGAATTGCTATGATATGGTTTTAGTTGAGCATTTTGGAATCCACAGCTTTTGGGATAATTTCTGTGCATGTGTAGAAGGGACATCACTGTTAATAGTACATGCTAAGTTCCGCAAGTGATTATTCTGCAAGTAATTGAAATACTTGTTAAATTTAAAAACTGTGGTTTGGAAATCTTCAGGTTCCTACATTTCAGCAATAAACTGTAAGCCATATTTTTGCACAGAATAGATTAAAAGAAAAGTCATGAGAAGCCTGAGAAAGCGTTTTTTTCTTTTCCCTCCCTTTTCCTATTACTTTACATGTAAGAAGCAGCTTAACCAATATAAATAGCTCTTTTGACAAGCAATTTGCATCTCCACCATCAACTTTGAACACCAAGTTTTGGCTTCAGCAAATTTAAATGGCTATGTTTATAAACCTATGGAAGACTTGGTTGTGTATCATCAGTTTCAGACACTTATTTGTTTATTCAACTATTAATCTATTTACCTATTTTATATTTATTCATCTTTACATATTCACATTCAAATAAAACTCAGAACAGTAGACACCTTCAACGATTTAAAAATTAATGAAATTAATAAAAATTGATTATTATTTACCTAGTTTGTGGGCGACAGCAATTTGATTTCATTTATAGCTTGAATTGAGTCCTGAAAAATTGATTGCTAGGTTAGACTTTTCTCAGAGGTCTCGTTGTATCAAAAAATGATTCCTGGGGAACCAGCAGTTAGCGTAATGGCTATGTCGCTGGACTCCCACGTAGTTGACCGTGGTTCGCGTCCCGGACCCGGTGGCTTAGAACTCACGCCAGGCGTGTGTGCATGCGTGCCCAAGATCCCGAGAGGAGAATGGAGGAGAAGGGATTGCGGCATGACCATCCCCCCTGGGGGGTGATTTCTCGCTTTCTGTCTCTGTGTCTCTGTCTGTCTGGCGAGCGCACATGCTCTATAGCGAAAACCTCTCAAAAACAAAATAAAAAAGATCCCTGTTGGTCGTTAGGTATATAGGGAAACAAAAACTGCAGTATACCATTGAGTTTTATAACTAATAGTGTCACAAATACTTTAAGTGACCAATTTACAATTACTGTAAATTTTTTTTATGAGAACAGGAAAGAACAAAAATTTCATATTTAAAGAGATTTAATCTGCTCTATGATCAAGGTCTAGAGCAACAACCTAAAATTAGAGTACTACTTGGGATCAAGCAGAGGGTTAAGTTTCCCAAGTTTGGCCATGATAATACTTGCGGGGCCAGCAGGTGACATGATGATTAGGGGCACTGGACTCCTACATGGCCAACCATGATTTGAGTCCCAGACCTGGCAGCTTGCTTTCTCATTTTCCTTTTCTCTAGCTCTTTCCTTCTCTGGTCAGATTAAAATAAATACATAAATAAAAAATGAAATTAAATAAAATAACTCTAAAAAAAGAAATTTAATACTTGCGAAAGAACTTTAGCACTTGTAATTCTGCTTTTGTAGGAATATGTCTTCTATCACTGATGGTTCGTAGGATGACTTTAAAATTCCTGGATAAAATGGATGCAGAAGACTTGGAAACCTTCAATGGCTATAGAGACTGTTCCCATTGACCCCAGATGTATTTCCTCCAATTTTTTTAATTTTTTTTTTTTTGAGGTTTTCGCTATAGGGCGCGTGCACTCGCCAGACAGACAGAGACATAGAGACAGAAAGCGAGAAATCACCCCCCCCCCAGAGGGGATGGTCATGCCTCAATCCCTTCTCCTCCATTCTCCTTGGTGTGAGTTTTAAGCCACTGGGTCCAAGACGCAAACCGTGATCGACTATGTGGGAGTCCAGAGACATAGCCATTACGCTCACTGCTGGTTCCCGTTAATGTGTTTTTTTTTTTTTTTTAAGAATTTTTTTATTTAACATTTATGTATGTATGTATATATTTTAATTCGAACAGAGAGGAACAGAGAGAGAGAGAGAGAGAGAGAGAGAGAGAGAGAAAGGAAAAGTGAGAAAACAAGCCAAGACAGAGAAATTGAGAGAGCCAGCTGCCAGGTCCAGGACTCAGATCACAGTCTGCCATGTGGGAGTTCAGCGCCTTAGCCATCCCACTACCTGTTGGTCCCCAGGTATCTGTTGGCCCCCAGGTACTGGTTTTTAAATCCTGATCCTCTGCCAGGGCTCCAATCAGAAAATCACAACATTATTGTACTCTCTGATCATTAGATTCTGCCACTCAAACTCAGGAATAATTTTGCCCCCGTTATTGTGATCATTTAAAGATGCCATGTCCGAAGGTTGTCAGAATGCAGTTACTGGCATATATATATATATCTATATTTATATATCTCAAGAAGTTCTTTCTAAATAAAATATCTATAGTTTTTTTTGGTTATAGCTAAAATTTACCTTGTCTGTCTCCTGACATTTTGTTTTATTACCAAAATTAAGTTTTTGCATTTTATAAAAATTTTCATTAGAAAACATGGTTGAGTGATATATCCTAAGCAGATTGAAAATATTTTATCATTTTAAGAGAGCTAGCCAATTACTAGTTTCTCTCATTACTCCGCTCACCCAAGAGAGAAAGGGATGCACATCTGTGATAATGACTAATATTTATTAAATATTTAAGAATAAACCATTTATTGTGCCAAGCAGCTTTTACATTTCCTTCATTTAAGCTTTAAAACTGTATGAGGTAGGCACTCTTACTCAAGTTGCAAAAGAA